CTTCCATCAAAGTAGACCGCAAAGATTCTGAAAAATTAGTGAACGTAGTGAAATTTGGTGAACGAATATCGTTTAATACCGAATGATTGAAAATCCATTATTGGTCATTCCCGATTTGTCGCTGAAGAGAGCTGTGAGAATTTGATTGATAAGAATGCCAGAGAGAAAGCCATCTGTTTTCACGCAACTCCATCTAAAACGATTGAAATAGGTAATTCTGATTCGAAACTGTACTGAGACATTATGGTATGTTGAGACTAAAGAAAGATAACACTTTCAAGAGAATAAACAATCAAACTAGGTAAAGTGTCTTGAATCAAGCCAAAGCTGAATCAAGCCAAAGCTGAATCAAGCCAAAGCTGAATCAATTTTATGTCTAACTCACGTAAGTACACACGAAGCTTGATAAAAATCATTGATAGCATATCCAATTTTGCAGCATTCATCAAAAATGCAAATAAACCTTGTGTTTTCGATAGACTTGAGTTTCTCTTGAGCAAAAATATCGAGCAACAACTTAGAAAAGTGATTAGACATCCGACCTAAAGGGCAATTGATTGGTTGAACAAGAAACAGACCAAAATAAAAAGTGTGACCACTGTAGTCTCGTATTTATTGTTGAGATTTGTATGTATGGGGAGTCCGTTCCATTTGTAAGCCAACTTTTTGTTCATCAGTGCCATCATGAGGCCTTTGTTCTGAAAATAAGCTAAACTTAAACGTTAAAACCTTGCTTAACTTAATTCACTCTTAAATTAACTTAAACTTAATTTCATTTATACTAGTAAGTTGGAGGTTTACCAAGGATTTCAGGAGATTTTATAATTTTAGTTTTGGATGATTTTGATGATTCAAAATTGAGAATCAATTCTTTAACACAACTTTTCCTAGCTTCTGATGACGGATGGTAGTTTTCGAATTGTTAAAAGAAAAGAGTCTGGTTATTGTAATACAAAGAGGGTTATTGGCAATGATGCAATGGCAAAAGAAAAGCAAAAGAAATACTTGTGGATTGTACGGAAACAATTTGCATAAAAGTTAAAGTACCACAGCTCAACCAATGTTACCTGTTCCACGCAATTCGTCGGATTGCTCTTGTTCGGATTGTTAAGAACTTCTTCATAATATTCATCATAATCATCAATAAAATAGTAATAGTAATAATAAAGATTTCCATAAACATCTTTAACCTTTTGTTTAATAAAATCTTTTTCGTTTTGTTATGCATTTGTGAGATTAGGTTAAAATAATCCAAATGAAAATACCTAGTTTACAAAGGAACTTTGAATACTTCAAATTAAAGAGCTACATTTAGAATCCAACAATTATTTAGAAACACAGGTTACAAAATTACCCAAATTATCACAAATTTTTGAGTACGCTGAGTTCTAGAGCAAAAAAAGCGAATTCTAGAACTTTTCAAAAAGTTTCAAAGCTTGCAAAGTCATTTTTATTCTCTCAATTCATCAAATATCTCAAAACAATCAAGAAAAATAAAAACAAAATACGGTATTGTGGTATTATCGATGAATTGCATAAGTCACTCATACAACAGTAAAGATCTCCATCTGGTGTTTTGGAGTTGCCCGCTTTCTAAACCTACTCAACGTAGTCAAGTTTTCGCTAGCAAGTCTAGCTTAATTGTTGAGTCGATAACTTTGCGATTGAACTTATTTTGAGAAAATACATCTTTTAAAAAGAACTTACCGTGCATGTTTGAGAGACAGGATATTGATCACCACACCCGCAACCCCAATGAGTCTCAAAATAGCTGCCTTTCTGAGATTTAAACTCGGGTGTTTGAAATGAGCAAGGGAACGATTGACTTTTACTCATATTTTTCGGAAAGAACCTACTTGAACCACGTGAATTGGCTCAATTATCTTTCCACAAAAGCCACATTCTGTCGAGCAGTTCACTGACTTCTGAAAGTGACTGATGAACCGATTCAAGCTAGCTTTTGTTAAGTGACCAACTTTTTTGCCAATCAATTTTAGTAAAAGTAACGTTTAAACTTGTTTAGCTAAGTAATAGCTTTTACTGAAACAAACTTTTCTTTTCTTTTTTTACTTTTCTTTCCTGGTGAAACTGATATAAATTGGCCTATAAGCTTTGTAGATATCTAGATAAAAGAGAATTTTATTAAAATTATTAACTTTATTGTTAAGAGTCACTTTTAAACTTCTATAGGTAGATAATAGCTTTTCAAATTTTACCGAATCATCACCGTGATGTTGGGTTTCGTGAAAATCAAAATGACATTGCAGAGCATAAGATAATGAAAGACACAAAGAAATCAATAATACAGCTTTCATTGAATAAAAATTCGATTCTTACTTTTTAAATGAGTTCAATGTCTTTCTTGGCGGGGTGTGAAATCTTTTTGTGTTCCTATTTCTATTCGGAGAGAGGCTTTGGTGATAACACATGTAATTGATTAGTTTACGCAATGGTAGTGACAAAATGATCAAAACTTGAGAAAACCGATCAGATTTTCGAGGTTCTTTCCGAAAAAAGGGTTATCAGAAAAGTCCAAACATTCAGAATTCGAAAAGAAAATGTGATTTCAAAAGTTTGTGAGCAAAAACTCTGCGAAGATCTTTTCAATCAAAGTCATGCCAAAGCCAATGGCTTTCAATTAGCTTTTATCTGGAATTTCAAGCTTACAATTTGCTTTAATTTGGCTGAAAACCTTGGTTTCAGGCTGGAAATTGTCAATCAATGCCAACATTGTTCTTTTTATTCTTGAGCTGAACAACATATGGTTTTTATTGTGTGTTAGCCTTATTGGAATTGCTAATTCGTGATACGAAACGCTCTTTGAGAAGCTGAAAACAAAAATATCTAATAATATTGTTATCATTCTTTGTCTATTCACTCACCTGATAAAATTGAACGAAAAGATTTCGATAGAACTTTGTCACAAAAGAACGATGTGGAAAGAAAATAGCCGGAAGAGTGGTGGTCATTAGTGAAAAGTGGTGGTCATTAGTGCATTTGATAAAAATATTTCTAAAACGGAAAATCGTGTAAATGGAGTTTTAAATAGCTACTTGTTTGCGAATCCGTACAAGCAAATATTGAGAAAAAATAGAAAAATATAGGTAGAAAACCGAACGTTGCCAAAATAATGCATAAATATTTACTTTGCAAGTGAAAGACAAAGTAGCCGTCATTGACAGGAACATACCCTGAAAATATTTTTGAAAATGCAAAGAAACATTTAAGTTCACAAGTCTCAGTTACTTACGATAATGAAACATTCTGAACGTTTTGCGTTTTAATTTCAATTTTTGTGTGTTGTGGATCTTCTTGTTACGCTTTATAGAACTATTAAATGAAATTTTTTCCTTTCGCAAACTTGAGATTATTTTAAAAGTTTTGGAAAAAGTATTGACCACACAAATACAACGATAGTTTTCAGTATTTAGTCGGTCCTCCCTCAACTTTAATGATTTTCTGCATTCTTTCAACCAATTTATCAAGAAACAGCGGCGATATTGATTTCCAAATTTCTTGAACCTTGTCCCAAAGCTCATCTCTCGAAGATGCCCGAAATCCCTTCAGTTCTCGTTTCACATGAGCCCACAAGTGTTCGATTGGGTTACAATCAGGTGAATATGGCGGAGTATCGAGAAGATACACATTGTTGAGGCGAAACCAGCCCGGAAGACGGACAAAGCGGCCTGCTGAAACTTGAGATGACGTCCCATCATCAATCCACTTTTTATGTTTGGGGTCATTGTCCAGCATGAATAGCCAGGCTGGACCCATCACTATTCGAGCATGTGGCAGCATCGATGACTGAAGTATATCCCGCGTATTTGACCGCATCCATCGTTCCATCGATACAAACGAGAGGAAACTGTCCTGCCTTCGACTGTCCAGAAAAGCATCCCCAACACATTATCCCAACTCCGCCAAATTTGACTGTCGGTTGAATATGCTTCAACTTATATCGTGCTTCTCGGTGGTCTCTTGATCATAAAATAACCGTTTGGGTTGAATAGCTCGGACTTGACTTCATCACTCCAAATCACATTTCGGCAAGTCTCGACTTTCTAGTGTTGATGCTCCAATGCGAAACTGCAAACGGAGACGCCGATTTTTGAGAGACACCAAGGGCTTTCGCGTTGGCCGTCGTGAGAACAATTGCGTGTTTTGAGACGATTTCGGGCTGTTCAAGCAGTAACATCAACTCCAAACTCGTCTTGCAGGTACAACCTTCCATCGGTGGCCGTGCGACTCGAAGGGAAAAGTGATTTTTTTTGTACAAGGCCCAGTCCCGTCATTGTTTTGCGTGGGCGTCCACTCCTCGTCTTCCTGTGCACATTTCCTCCCTTCGCAAACTCGTCGAACTGTCCTTTTTGGGACGCGAAACACATTCTCGATTCTTGCGAGATCGACTCCCTTTCACGGGGACGGACAATGCTCTCTTTGATCGGAGTGCCAATATCTCGTTTGTGCGACATCACCTAAAATAATAAATTCAACACTTTGAAAAATAGAAGAAAAGCAAAAATTAACATAAAAAACTAGAGCGGTCAATACTTTTTCCACCCAAAATCGAAGTTTTTTCCTTTTGTTCCAAAAAATTTTAAAATAAAATAGTCTAAAGTTTGCGAAAGGAAAAATTCTATTTAAGTTCAATCGTCTTCGAATGTACCAGCAAAGGGAAGAATTGGCTGATATTTATTCTTTAAATATTCATGTAATAAATAAAACACAACATAACTGATTAGCATTAATGAATATGAGCAGAAAGAGATCAAATAAGGCTTTTGTCTGTGCATTATTCACCCGACTTATCATTGTTAGTATCTTCCAAATAATCAGTATAATCACTCAAAAAATGCTCATCATCCAACGGCAATAATCGGAATCTTCTTTCAGAGCATTCGTCGTAGCAAAGGTATTCTGATCAAAGGTTGATCGACTGTGACTGATTTGTAAATTGAGACCATCCAAGCCCAAGAGTTGGCCAATTCTCTCGAGTGCTACATCCAATGGTGGAGTCTTTGTGACCTGAAACAACGTCCTTGTTATTATGCATTAGATTTTGAACTTAAGCAAGATTTGATTATATTAGGATTGTAAACCAAGTCTTGACCCTTTCTTAAATTGCTAATTTCTCAGCGTAGAACCAATATATTTGAATGAAATTTTAAATGAATTATTCTCAAAAACGTACAAGCTTAATGCCAAAATTATAAAGTTATTCGGCGATTAGCAACCAAGTTATAATAAAAACACGGTGCTACTACCCCTTTTTGGCCTTTTTCCAAGGCCAAAAGTCGAGTTTTTAACAATTTTGCAGCCCGATTTTAGATAGGTTTTTGTTGATAACCTTTTAATAAAACAAATAGTTTCTAAAAGCTGATATTCTAAGCTATCTAAATATTATTATTAAAACTTCCTGATCTGACAAGTTTATGGGGCTTAAAAATGAGCGGCAAAATTTTCAAAAACTCGACCCCCCCGCCTCGATAACCGTAAAGATCCGAGTTTTGAAACCTTTCTAGAAAGTATCTACATTATTCTGGTTTTAAATGTGGTAGAAAGAAATTTGTATCGTATTTCCTCATGTTGCTCGTATTTTTGAATTTAGCGCCGGCAGTAAAAATTGTCTTCGCGCGGTCTTCTTGCTATAACTTGGTCGCTAATAGCTTTATAATTTTGGCATTAAGCTTGTAAAGATTTGAGAATAAAGAATTTTGAGATCTTGAGAATTTAAAATTTCATTCAAATATACTGATTCTACGCTGAGATATTAGCAATTTAAGAAGGTCAAGACTTAGTTTACAACCTAATAGAAACAGTCAGTAAAGTAGTGTTTTTAAGTCAAAGGCTTGTTTAACCTGAATTCTTTGTTGATACTTCTCCACTTAGCCGGCTTGATTCTTGTAAACAGTGCTGATCGTGGTCTTTCCCGGTTCCCTCCCTCACCACACACATTTCATCATTTGGGAGATAATAGGTCTTTTGATGGATAACTTCTTGAACACCATTCTGAAAACGATTTATTGACCATAAGCTTTCATAGTTTAAGTCTAAGTTTTTAAACAGAATCATTCCTAGAGCAAAATCTCCAAACCAAACCAGGACCAGAAAGAAACCCATAAAGAAAAGGGTAAACCAATGGGATAAGGGCTTGGACTTGGTTTTTGAAACCCTACCGCCATTGGAACTCACCTGGGCCATCATATTCATCTCACAAACATCAACCAGTTTGCCTTGATTGACAACTTTACTTGGAAGCTCTCCTAGATGAAATTGAAGAGAGCAATGAGTCATGAACTCTTCTCCATGTTTCCGGTAGTGATAAAGTGCCAGATAATCATCGACGAACTTCAATTGCTTCCTTGCCACGATATTTCCAATCTTTTTGAGATCAATGTTGATGTCGTTCAAAAAGCGTGAAAAGGTGCTTGGATCGTTGAAATTCAGCCGTCGTCCGGCTAGAAAAAGAAAAAGTTTTTGCTTACAAAGTTAAGATTGTCAAATCTTGTTAGTAAACTGGTTAAAACAGACTTCAAAACTCACACTTTCTCTCAGCCGCCACCACTTCCACAAGAGACATAAATTTTCCAGGTTCGGTTTCCGGAATACCCAATTGCTCGGCCAATCTCTCCGCGATTCTCACCGTATCTCTATCATAACCAGCCGCTCCTTCAAACACATTGTTGACTCTGGCTTGGTCTCTTGGAGACATGTTCTTCAAATATTTGTGTGCTTCGTGATCATTTCCCAGACATATTTTCAATTGGTTCCTCTTGCTGATTTTCACCAATCCTTGCACGTCTTTAACAGCGAAGTCAGTTCTAAATAAAAAGTAAATGTACACTTTTGTAAGCCATTACAAATTTTGTCTTAAAAATAGCTCAACTATTCTAACACCTTATTCCTAATTGTTCAAGATTAAAGCTTTTACAATAGTTCGATAAAGTTTTACCGGTGATTGGGGTTTGTTCGTTGAGTATACCCCTTCCGTCTGTTAGCAATACAGTACGCCCTTTGCGGCCAGCAATCTTCATGTCAAAGCCTTGAGTTTTGAAAGAAACAGCTCGGATCCCTCCATTCGATTCAATGTTCGAACAATCTTTGACTTTGCTTGTATGCCCCCTCACCTTTATTTGCATCAACGAACTTTTGAAATGATTGTTTTGCCTGTCCATCAGTCATTTGATTTGCGATTTCCCGATTCTTTGTTCTTGAAACTTGTTGATGACTCCGGCAGCGGTTTTGGTTGCATCAAAGTGTTTGTGAAAAGAGAGTGCTGATCGAGAACTGCAATAAATCTAAAGCAGTGAGCTCTTTCTTCAACGCTTTCTCCACCAAATTTACAACATTCATCAAGAAGAAAAATCAGTCAATTGAAAGAGAAGTGATCATAAGTGATGTGGCCAAAAGTCTTTGTGATTGAGTGAAAATTCGTCCTTGCGCCGCACCGGCAGCTAGACGAGCATTAGCTAGAGCCGTCCCGAAGTGAAGAGGAGCTGCCAGAATGGATAACATCAAAACAATACTCTCCAAATCAGTAAGACTTTCATTATGATTGTATTTGTCAACGAGTCTTTGTCCAGCTCTCCCCAATCCATAGACTGCACTTGTGCCGGTTGTTCCCAATAAGTTTGGACCACTGATGAATCCAGCTGGGGTGAATAGAGACCAAACCAGCTCCGATTCCAACTGTGGTAATAGTGACGTCCAAAAATTCTTCCAATTCTTGCACTCAAGTCACACGCTGGGGTTGCTCCAAATTGAAGTGCTGGGTCTTTCTCGGGATCAAAGTCGAATTGATTGTTTTCTGAGCAGCTGTAGAATCCATACTTCGGGAAACAGTATTTGAGCATTGGCAATCGATTTTGCGTTTTCCAGTCCTCCCAGGTCTTTCATACACTCGACACATCGTATCAATGTATCTCTATGTGGTGACTGTGGTTGACTTTTACCATAAGAGTGAGAAAATCGGAACAGGGAATTCTTTGTCACCTTCTTTACAAAAAATGAATCTGAAACCGACCATGAACTGTTTTTCAGGAGCTTTCAGCCAGACTTCATGGAATAGTTTTGTAGATTTTTCGCTGCGAGTTTCTCTTTTGCTCATTCGTGTAAGCATCTTCAATTTTGTCCTTCTCTTCTTGTGGTGGACCGAAAAGAGCAAAACAGATTTTGATTATTCCCATAGCTTTCACTCAAATCCGAGACATCGTGAGATTGAGAACCATCGAATTGAAGGTAGTAAATTTCTGTGATTGGGCGGCCTTTTCCTTTTCCATTTCTTCACATCGTCTTGATCCCAAGTTGACAGTATTCACCGCCAAGAGTGTTACCCATTTGTCTGAATTTATTTATTTAGTAACAAAATCAGAACTCAAATCAATTCAGGAAGCAGTAACGTATTACGGTTTCAAACATTTAAATTCTGGGTCGAAATCTTACCCAAACCGCTAAATCTTTTAATTGAGAAACAATAATTCCCAATGATTTGTCAAAACGAGATGGATAACAAGACGATTTGCGGCTGGGTTGGATTGACTGGTGTTTATAGAGACAAGAAGTTTAGATTTTTAATAACTTTATCGGTGATATGAAAGATACGGGTCCGAGACCAGCAAAGTTGAAAAACCGGAAAAAATACAGAAACACTAAAACTTTAACAATTTACAAGAAACCGAGAAGAAGGGGTGAAGACAATAAAAGGAGGAGGGAAATTTTAACAATAAACAGAATTTTATAAGGGGATAAAGAGGGGAACATACACACGCAAAAGACACGGCGAAGCGCCGGACCAGGCAACGATTCTTTAAAGGAGTGAATTGTGAATGGATGGGACTTCGTTTGTAGAAGGAAAGGGAGACGCCATCTCGGGTACGGTAGCTTAGGTGTATTTTATAATTTACAGTTGGAAGGTTGCCAACCCGTACTCGAAATGCAGCAATTAAGTTTTACTAACAAGGGATCTTCCCAAGTTACCCGCGAGTTATAATATGAGATAGGTGCTCAAAGAAAGGCCCCGCAAATGTCCGTTCAGAAACTGTTTTCAAAAACCCTAATCGGCAAAACGCACAAAGTTACAGCCGTTTGAATTTCGAAAAATGAAGGCTTTTCTTGAATTTCTGGCACACTGATTTTTGCCGGCAGGAAGGCTTCCGCCATCTCAAAAGATCAGCTCGTAGCCTAGTGGTTAGTGTGCCTGCGTTCGAAACTCTTTGATCTTGGTTCGGATCCACTATTTGTCAAACTTTTTTGCTTTTTTGAAAAACATTAAAAGCTTTTTTGATTATTAGAAAATTGTATATATGTTATTTTCTAATGCTATCTAATGATTGACAATTTATTTAAAAGAAAGTAAGCAAAAAATTAAAAATCAAGTGTAATTACCAATGAACAAATGAGCAAAAATGAACAACCTGGAAATGCACTATTAGAACACTAAGTTTAAGAGCAATGCGCACAGAGCATGAAATTAAGATTATTGCATCCGTTTTCTTCACAATCGCTTATTTGTCTTGTTAAAGACGGGTTTCCCGAATGTTGAGGGATGTGTCCTGCTCGGAACCAGATATTGACGAAACTTAAAAAATACTGGAGCTTTTAAGCTGCTCACACACAACCAGAAAGAACTTTAATGATATTGTCTCGCTTGCTGATCTTGGAAATCCGGTTTGCTGGCTCGATGTGATCGTGAATTTTTCCATTACGCCTTTAAATTGTTGAAAGAAGTAAGCATCCAATGGTTCAACGAGTCCTGTCCACCCCGCTTAAACTCGCCTTGTCCGTACTTGTGGAGTATCCGGGGGATTTACTCTTACTAAAGTTACCCGAGCCATAGACGTCTTGGTGCATCCTAAAAATTCATGCGTAATTAGTAATAGCAATTTCGAATACAATCGTATAAAAAGCTACTCACTTCTGCGCTTTATCCCAGCAATTCAACCACAAATGACGACAATGGACCTGGTCAATCCAGAATTGTGAAGGGCAAGGTTGCAAAAATGCTGCAAGGGAATTATCGACTTCAAATCGATGTTCCCACATAAGAGAATAGGGTTGCTTAACGGCGTACACCGCCGTGAACCAAATCTCTTCAGCAGATTGGACAAGGTCCGGAGGCGACCTGGACCAGTAGAACCGAGCCTTCTCCATAAAAGTGGTGGCCGTGTACTTCTCCAATTTCTTGCTAAAATACATTAATTATGAAACAAGGGTGCAAACAATGTTTATTGAAAATTACCGTAAAAACTCTAATAGAAGCACCCTCTATAGGAGCGTCGCGTAGTCTAGGTTTACTCTCAAAAAAGCGCTCATATCTCGGCACCAACACGTTTGTTTCTGCGCGCTTGGGTATCAAATTAAAGTATTAAAGTATCAAATTAAGAATGGGTGATTTTGAGATGATTGAAAATCGCTGAAAGTCGGCTCTTTTTGCCATTTTTCAATCCAATTTTTCCTAAGCGCTAGCTAATGCTAAAAATATGTGCTATATCTCAAAAATCACCCATTCTTTCTACTTTAATTTGATACCTAAGCGGGCAGAAACAAACGTGTTGGTGTCGAGATCTGAGCGCTTGTTTGAGAGTAAATCTAGACTACGCGACCTCCTATCGAGGGCTCTTCTATTAGAGTTTTTACGGTAAATTAAAACTTACTCTACTAACGGACTCCACTCGTTCCCATCCACCAATTGTCCTCATCCTTTAACGTCTTTAACTCTTCGGGATTACCACACCACTTGAAATTAGGTTCATTCTGAAAAAGATATATAATTCACTCAAGAATTAAATTACATGAAGAAAAGGTTACCCAGATTACGCCTAAAGGCATTTCGCCCTAACGCATTTTGCTTCACGATGGCGCAAGAAAGCGAAGCTTGCGCCATGCGTTCCAAAACAAAGCTTGCGCTGGCGTTAGGCAAAATGCGTCCAAGCGGAAAATGTCTTTTAGGCAAAATGGGAGGGGAGCAAACAAAGAAAACGTGTTTTCACAAAGGCGAGAAAAAAGCTTGTATCACTTTGCCAAAAATCAATTGGGGTTGTGGATTCGGCGGGGTGGTGGGGAATTTCGGCTTTCCTAGAAACGCCTTTTATATGTTACGTCTGAATCCGAACACAAACAGCCAAAGCTGCGTCCCGGTACTTGTGGAGTATCCGGGGAAGTCTTTCAATATCCGGGGTGGTAAAATTTTAAGATCCGGGGTAAGCTTTCAAAAACCAAGCAAATGCCCAAAAATGTTTTTGTTAATATGGTTTTTGCCGCTGTTTGCGTGTGGTAACTAAATTTTATAACTATACCAGCAACGGATAAACAAGATGCACGAGTAATGCAAGAACATAAACATAAACCAAACATAATAATTCAATAAATTTGTGAAGTACAACAGTGACTATTTGTAACAATACTACTTGTAAAAATCTATCGGATTTACTTCTAGGCCAGGAGGCCAAATATCAACATCCAAATATCAACAAATCTCAACTCAGTCCGAAAACCTTCCGTAGCCTTTCACCGCTTCAGCTTCTTCAAGCAAAAGGTGAAGTACTCAAAGAAATGAGTCAGTTTTAGCTGTTAATTTATAGA